GCACACTATAAAAGAATACCTTAGGAAAGCGGAAGGCGCCATGAGACAAGAACACTGGAGAAATACCCCAGGTCTTAGGCAAGCCAAAACTCAAATAAATAACTATAACAAGAAGAGGTCCAAGGAACTTATTCAACTGGGGAAAAACTCACTTAGGATCGTTACCGGATTACTAACCGGGCACTGTAGACTGAAAAGTCACCTAGGTAAGATGGGAATAACCAGCAGTGGAACTTGCAGATTCTGCGACATAGAGGACGAAACCTCTAGACACATCATTGCAGACTGTCCGGCGTTAGCAAGCATAAGATGTAAAATCTTAGGAACCAGAACTCTTACACCTGAGCTCCTAGTAAGAATCAACCCACTAAAACTCCTCGACTTTATTCGAGGAAGTGGGTTGATATCTGAGCTGTAGGCTCTGAATGGGGGTACAATAGATCTTATAGGTCGCGGTACACTGGACACCCCGATATTAATAATAATAATAATCGCGGTGAACTCGACTATAGCGATCTTTCTTGTATAATTTGTACTTATTTATTTATGAACGCTTACCAATATAATACAAAAAAAGTAATATTACAACACTTTTTGACTCTTAGTTCTCTAACTTAAATTTTTTACTTTGTCGAACGTGTAACTTCTTTGTGGGACTTGTTTTTTAGCGCGTCATTTTGTATGAAATATATATTGTGAAAAACGTCTTAAAGAAATGAATTTTAATGATCTGACATATTAACTAGTGAAGACGTTTTACGACTTATGTAGTTTTAAAGAACCCATTTTTACAGAACCTGTACTAATGTTTCGGTATCGGTAACGGTTATTCTGGTTGCCATATTTTTCTGTTACGGTTCTGGATAGGCAAAAACATGATATCATACAATGATATCTGTTCCGGTTCCGGTTACGGTTTTGATTCCGTTTTATCGGTTAAGAATAAAGGAAACAGGTTGGATACCCTGATTTCCAGACATGTTAAAGTTAGGCATGCCATTTTTAAAATTTAAGGAAAAATGGTAGAACATTGGGTGTAATTCCAAAAATGTTGGTTTTATATGCTATGAAAAATCCAACTAAATATACCTTAAATACTGTTTAAAACACAACCGCAAGTCACAGAGGACTGTAGATTCAAAGAGAAATTCAGATAATTACGAAAATATATTTAAAAGTAGGTTTTTCTACTCACATTTTAGCGATTTTATTAAAAAACGCCACTAACGATTTATTTTTATTTTTGCGTCATTATAGCTCTTGAGATTACACAACTTTTGATATAAAACACACTTTTCTTACTTCTCGCGTTTGAGAGTTATTCAGCGTTCAAAAGATCAACTTACTTCGTTTCACTTCTTTATTAATATTTTATGCGTATTTAAATTAGCAGCAATCTATGCAATGCTAATTCGATTAAGACTAAATCTTATTGGAGTTTTTAACAATTTAAAAAAACTTTAAGTGTATATATATGCGTGTGCAAAGATAACGCAAATTTTTCTGAACCGCGGGTGCAAAAGCAAACGGAAAATCGTTACTTACACACACACGCCTTCGCTTAAACATCCCAGTCGGAAAAAACACGCTTCCAGGATGTGTTCCTTTACGCTTCCTTTGCATGCGAAAAACGCATTCCAGATCCCTGAAAGCTCCCTTTCCTTTTTGTTCGAGACGGGACAAAAAGCAAGCCTTCTTTTAGAACCGATCTAAGAACGAGTCTTAATGCGTTCCATTGAAAGGTAGTTTCAACTTCGGAAACGCTCGGGTTTCCCTTCCATTTGTACTTTACGAAGGAAGCATTCTACAGCGCACTGTTAGAATGAACATAGAAACGTTCCTCGGGAACTCTCCCGGATAGCTTCCAAAGCAAGCATTGCGTAACACATCTAAAGAATGCATATTGATCCCTTCCACAAGAACACATTTAAAATGATTCCAAAACATGCCTTCTAATTGTCTTACCCAAGAATGCAAATATTATCCTTCCCAAAAAAGCTATTGGGAACAGTTCGATTTTTTAATTATACCCTTGCAGAGGGTATTATAATTTCAGTCAGAAGTTTGCAACGCAGTGAAGGAGACATCTCCGACCCTATAAAGTATATATATTCTTGATCAGCATCACTAGGCGAGTCGATCTAGCCATGTCCGTCTGTCCGTCTGTCCGTCCGTCTGTCCGTCCGTCTGTCCGTCTGTCCGTCTGTCCGTCTGTCCGTCCGTTTATATGCAAACTAGTCTCTCAGTTTTAAAGCTATCTGCATGAAACTTTCCCAAAAGTTGTCTTTCTATTGCAGGTAGTATATAAGTCGGAACGAGCCGGATCGGACGACTATAGCATATAGCTCCCATAGGAACAATCGGAAAAATAAATGAAAAAAATTATAACTTTGCTGTTTTTTAATTTTTTGTTTAGTTCTTCGACATATAGCAATAGTTATATATTTCAGAATTATGGTTTAAATTTCATCAAAATCGGACGACTATAGCATATAGCCCCCATAGGAACAATCGGAAAAATAATTGAAAAAAATTATAACTTTGCTGTTTTTTAATTTTTTGTTTTGTTCTTCGACATAAAGCAATGGTTAAATATTTCAGAATTATGGTAAAAATTTCATCAAAATCGGACGACTATAGCATATAGCTCCCATAGGAACAATCGGAAAAATAAATGAAAAAAAATTATAACTTTTCTGTTTTTTAATTTTTTGTTTAATTCTTCGACATTTAGTAATGGTTAAATATTTTCGATTTACGGTTTAAATTTCATCAAAGTCGGACGACTATATCATATAGCTCCCATAGGAACAATCGGAGAAATAAATGAAAAAAATTATAACTTTTCTGTTTTTTAATTTTTTGTTTAGTTCTTCGACATTTAGTAATGGTTAAATATTTCCAATTTACGGTTTAAGTTTCATCAAAGTCGGACGACTATATCATATAGCTCCCATAGGAACAATAAAAATATATAAAATAACTATCAAATAATTGAGCTGCAAATCATCATAGCTTCAATGTTTTTAAACTTATACGCAAGTAAATTATAATTTTAATGTTTTCAAAAATGTTTAATTCTTGCAATAGCTGCAAGGGTATATGAACTTCGGCTTGCCGAAGTTTGCTTTCTTTCTTGTTATTATTTAAATTTTTATATCAAATATATTTTATTTATTTCCTATTTTGTAATTTTTTGTTTACTTCTTTTTGACCTATTAATAATTTGACAGTTCAGAATTACGATTTCAATTAAAACAAGAAAGAAAGCAAACTTCGGCAAGCCGAAGTTCATATACCCTTGCAGCTATTGCAAGAATTAAACATTTTTGAAAACATTAAAATTATAATTTACTTGCGTATAAGTTTAAAAACATTGAAGCTATGATGATTTGCAGCTCAATTATTTGATAGTTATTTTATATATTTTTATTGTTCCTATGGGAGCTATATGATATAGTCGTCCGACTTTGATGAAACTTAAACCGTAAATTGGAAATATTTAACCATTACTAAATGTCGAAGAACTAAACAAAAAATTAAAAAACAGAAAAGTTATAATTTTTTTTCATTTATTTCTCCGATTGTTCCTATGGGAGCTATATGATATAGTCGTCCGACTTTGATGAAATTTAAACCGTAAATCGAAAATATTTAACCATTACTAAATGTCGAAGAATTAAACAAAAAATTAAAAAACAGAAAAGTTATAATTTTTTTCATTTATTTTTCCGATTGTTCCTATGGGAGCTATATGCTATAGTCGTCCGATTTTGATGAAATTTTTACCATAATTCTGAAATATTTAACCATTGCTTTATGTCGAAGAACAAAACAAAAAATTAAAAAACAGCAAAGTTATAATTTTTTTTCAATTATTTTTCCGATTGTTCCTATGGGGGCTATATGCTATAGTCGTCCGATTTTGATGAAATTTGAACCATAATTCTGAAATATATAACTATTGCTATATGTCGAAGAACTAAACAAAAAATTAAAAAACAGCAAAGTTATAATTTTTTTTCATTTATTTTTCCGATTGTTCCTATGGGAGCTATATGCTATAGTCGTCCGATCCGGCTCGTTCCGACTTATATACTACCTGCAATAGAAAGACAACTTTTGGGAAAGTTTCATGCAGATAGCTTTAAAACTGAGAGACTAGTTTGCATATAAACGGACGGACAGACGGACAGACGGACAGACGGACAGACGGACGGACAGACGGACGGACAGACGGACAGACGGACATGGCTAGATCGACTCGCCTAGTGATGCTGATCAAGAATATATATACTTTATAGGGTCGGAGATGTCTCCTTCACTGCGTTGCAAACTTCTGACTGAAATTATAATACCCTCTGCAAGGGTATAAAAACGATATCATATAGCTGCCATGAGTATAGAACAATTGAGCTGCCAATCATCGTAGCTTCAATGTTTTTAAACATATACGCGAGTAAATCATAACTTTAATGTTTTCAAGAATGTTTAATTTTTTCAATAGCTGCATGCGTATATGAACTTCGGCTTGCCGAAGTTTGCTTCCTTTTTTGTTAAGTGGTGTTCTTGTTTAATATTTTTTAGAGGCACTTTAAGATTGGAGAAATTGTGTAAAATCAGAGATTTCAACTTTGACGTCATAAATTTTTTTTTTTTAAAAAGGTAACTAAAATAATATGGGCTGCATAATTAAAAATGTTGTCAGACATCGGAATTTCGTATTCTTAGCTGTACCGCGGATCCCTTAGCTCATGGAAAAAACTTTTACTCAGGAGTCCCCAAATTATATGGAAAAGTACAATTGGTTTGTCGAAATTTCAAAATGTTCGATGTTGTGTTCCTGTGTAATTTCAGTAAATTTACTCTTCCAGTAACCGTTTCTTGTGCATCGTCATGAAAATATATTGGAAGGGAATCTGGCTTAACTATAGTTAAGCTTATAACATAAAATAGTTTTTCATTTACGTTGATGAACTATAAATGTTATAACCGCAAAATTTAAAAACAGAAAAAGCTTTATTTAATGCGCTCAAAAATGGAAAATTTTGCTAATAATTACAGGAGAATCTTTTTAGACTGAATTGACTGGGTGCCCTCGCTGATGCGGGCGCTAGCAAGATGTGGTTGATCGTCAGTCCGAGGATTAGTGGCGGAACTTGCTGGGATTGGGACGGACGCGGCGAGCGGCGGATTCGGGGGAGCCGTATGCGATGGCGTGGCTAGTGGCGGATCCACCCTCGCCGGTGCTGAAGGAGTTGGCGATGGCGATGGCGCCGCCGTTGGTGCCCCCGAAGTCGATGGGGAAGAAGGTGCCAGCGGGAAGGGGAGCGGCGGGCTTCTTGGAGGGCTTGCCTCCGGCGGGAGCGGCTGCCTTGGCGGGCTTCTTGGCAGCGGGACGTCGGGCGTTTGGCACGCGGACAGGGTTGATGGGCTTCACGGGCACGGAGAGCTCCTCCTCATCCTCCTCAACGTCATCAGCCACGGCGTTCTCCACCTCCTCCTCGTCCTCGATGGCGGCGGCCTGGGGCTCCTCCTCCTCCTCCTGGTCCAGCTCGACGATCACCTTCTTTTTGGCGGGCAGATAGCGGTTGGCAGGCACCACAGCAGCCACCGGAGCGATGGGTGCGGGGGCGGGCAGCTCGGCCTCGGCGACGGGCAGGGGAACGGGCTCCTCTTCAGCGGCGGCGGCGGCAGCGGCGGCCTCCTCGGCGGCAAAGTTGAAGTCACGCGGCACCTTGGCGGCATCGTCGGCGGTCTCGGGCTCAGGCTCGGCCTCTGACTCGGTCTGGGGCACGGGCACGGACACGGGCACTTCGTCGGCATCGATGGCCACTTGGACGACGGGGGCCTGGTCGGGGTAGGCCTCGGCCACGGAGCTGGCGCCGTGGGCACCGGCGGCAGCCAGGACGTCCTCCGCCGGGATAGCCTCGGCGCTGATCTCGGACTCTGCGTGATTGCAATCTTTGGTTAGGGAGGGCGTGGTTAGTGCTGGCGGGGACGGGGGCGCGGAGGCTGGGGCTGCTTACCCTTCAAGTAGGTGCCGGTGGCGACGGTCTCGCCGGCCACGAGGGCACTGGCCGCCTGGGTGGAGCGGGCGTGGGTGCGACCGGGCTGCACGTACTGCATGTACATGAACCGCTGTTGGGGCGCGGATCCGTACCACTCGGCGGCGGCGGGCTGCTGGAGGTAGACCATCCCTGGAACGAGGAACGATTGCCGGTCTTGAGTAGGGCAGGCGAAGGGGAGGGGAGGGCGGATGAGTGATTAGAGGGGTTAGGTTCTGGGGGCGGTAGTGGGAGTCTGAGTGGGAATGGGTAATCCTCTGGGCGGCGACTCACTTTTCCTGGCGGGCAGGGCGTCGCCACTGGCCACGAAGCCAGCGATCAACAGCAGAGCCAAGGCAGCACTGATCTTCATGTCGTCTGAACTGAGTTGCGGTTGGGGAAACGACTTCTTAATAAATCCTCGGATGGGTCGGAGTTGGGTCTCGATTCGGAATACGCGCACTGATCACTGCAGGAGCTAAACTTGTCACTGAAGTTTCCACCAAAGAAGTGATGTCTGGTCAGGGCAGCGCGTTAGATTTATATACGCGACGCGACGGGCAAAAAGGCAAAAAGGCAAGCACAACGAGCATAATGAGAGGCGGTCGAAAAAAATCGGATATACCCATAGACGGCGACCGATCTCTGCTTAGTATGCAGCGGGGATCTTCGCGGGAACGTGCGAACCATCCGCCTGACAACTCTGATTGCTATTGCTGGATGACGACGCGATGCGAAGTTCGTACTATCGATGTGCCCGCTGGTCTGTGGACCTGTTCGGGGGTGGCTCTGGGCCAAGGGATATCCAAGCCGTGGGGACACATGTGGGCCATAAAATCGCAATTGGCAATTTAGTTTTAAGGTCATTCCGAAGACACGAAAGGCGGACAATATCGAGGTTTATGGGTGCGTGTGTGTCTTATCGCCGAGATAGAAGTGCGCCGCCTAGAGAATTAAAATAGGCAGCTTAACACATGCGGTGCATAATCAATCTGAAGGAGAAGGATTCCGGCACCGGCAGTGACTCAACACCCAGCCGACGTCAGCAAAAGTTCTGACGAGGCGCTAGGAGGCGTCTCTCAAATGTCAATTACTTCAGATTCCTTCTCGCACCCGACGTCATGACTTAATTGGAAAGTGGGACTCAAAAGCCTCCCGAGTCATTAATCATACGCACTGCACCACCGACTGTCAGAATTGCCTTTTGATTAATTTAAACGCCCCGTCTTTGCAGAGCAAAGGGCTGCATGCAAATATTGTTTACTTTCGAAATTGCAAATTGGGTAACACTAAAATTGTACTTAATTTTGTATTATATATTATAATGCATATACATTATCAGGGGTTGAACTCTTTCAGTAACTGGTTAGTAAGTTATACCATATCGTGGGAAAGTGCGTAGTTGGAAGAAGGAATCGTTTCCAAACTCTCCTCGTATGAACGATTAGATAATCTGAAGAATAGATTACGCTTAATCAAGTTCAAAAACTGGGATGTTTCAAACGATTTCGTTTTTGTTCCGAAGTTGTTGAAGGAGGCAGTCTTTGACTGATGCGTTTTTAACCGTTAGGTCTTTGTCCGATCAATTTTAGAAAACTGATTTATGGGTGTTTTCAAAGACAAATTGACACTGCACCGGCATCATTTGCGCCAAGCCTTCTCAATCGCAGAAATAGAAAGAGTATTTATCCAAATGAGTAATGATAAAACCAAACTTATATAATGGTCTTTCAAACAGTAAACTCAATTGTGCACATAAGGTAAGTTATGTGTTGAACTCATATTTTATAATATTAATTTAATGTCAAATTTTTAGATACGGACTTCGACGGGAAGATAAATGTTGGCATAATTATGAAGAGACAGCAGGTTGATTAACATTCATACATAAAAACAGCTGAAGAGGAGGAAATATTTGACAAACTTCATAAGTTATTAATTAAACCAATAAAAATAAATTACTCTTTTGTTTTTTTTTAGCAACCAAATTTTTTTGCTATTTCAAAGGCTATTTTAGCTTTACCCAAAGAGTTGGCAACACTGGATACAAAGCTCTTTGTTTAAAAGGTGACTTGTCCTCATTAAAGGCATGAAACTCTACTTTGACTCTTCTCTTCCTTTCTCTCTACTCCTCTTTTCGCATAAAAAGATATACTTTTTGAGTTGATAAACTGCAATAAACTTATCATGAATTGTGACACTAATCGTTATTATTATTATATTATATATTATAATTATTCATGCTTTTTGAAAGGCTAGTTACGATGAATTCTGACTTATTCTGAGTTTTAGTGGTAGGGATATGTTTTTAGGCAGAAAAAATGTTTAATTACGATATATACAAATTGGAGCTTAAATGCTTTCTTAAATCTACTGACCCCTCAGACTTCCGAATTTTATTGAATTACAAAAAAAAGACTTTTATCGAAAATTTACTACATTTATTGTCAACTAATTTTTCGACTCTTTCCATGAAGTTATATTGTATAGCCGTTGAAATTGTGTCTGTCTGCGCATAAAAATATTACTTTTAAGGTTTTAAGTCCCTAGCTTTTAAACTAAGGGAGTAAATTGCACTTAAAAATGCTGGTCGATAAAACTGTCTATAAGGTATCCCATAGTCAAGTCACTCGACTACAGCGTTTTTTTGTGTATCTTTCTTTAAATTATGACGAGGGGCTTCTGATGTCCGTCACATCAAAGGTGGAGACGACATCTGCGCAGTAATCGCAAATTGAATGAATTATTTGCATATTAAGCCGCTGCACTTCTTACGTCTCATTTTTGATTCTTCATAAAAAGTCGTATCAACTGGAAAGATTAATCGCAAATATTTATGTTTCTTTCCGGAAGTCTTCAATCAAATAGAATAATATAACAAAATAAAAAGACAGATTACATTTTTTAACTCGTTATAAAGAAATAACGAAGAATTGATTGAACAGCAATTGAAGTATATGTGTTTATACGGCATTGGAGCATTGGGCATTATATTTATGCCCTTTTTTTGATAAGGCCAAAACCAGTACTAATTATCATATTTTTATTCAAATTCAGACAATTTTCTAGAACGCAAACCACTGATTTCGTGTGCTTCGCATGACAATTACCCCATTCCGTAATAACTATGCGCAGTAGTTTGCTTTGTCTGGAAAAAACATAAACAAGCTGAAAAAACCCAAAATTTATGTTGTTATTTTGAAGTTCGGAAGACTTAATATCTAAAAGGGGAATAAAAAAATAAAACTGCAAGTCCGCTGACTAAATCCAGCAAAGGGCACTAAAATGAAACTCAAAGAATGTAACGCTATAAAGGAGAAAATTTCGACCCCACTAAAAAATTACTTCCTATTTATTTTTTTATATTATTGCAGAGGGTATTATGATTTCAGTCAGAAGTTTGCGACCCTGTAAAGTATATATATTCTTGATCAGCATCACTAGGAGAGTCGATCTAGCCATGTCCGTCTGTCCGTCAGTTTCTACGCAAAATAGTCTCTCAGATTTAAAGCTATCTGCATGAAACTTACCAAAAGATGTCTTTCTATTGCAAGTAGTATATAAGTCGAAACGAGCCGGATCGGACGACTATAGCATATAGCTCCCATAGAAACAATCGGTAAAAATAAATGAAAAAAAATTATAAGTTTGCTGTTCTTTAATTTATTTTTTAGTTCTTCAACATATAGTAATGGTTAAATATTTCAGAATTACGGTTTAAATTTTATCAAAATCGGACGACAAATTATCATAGCTTCAATGTTTTTAAACATAGGTATACGCAACTAAATTTTAATGTTTTCAAGAATATTTAATTTTTGCTATAGCTGCAAGGGTATATGAACATCGGCTTGGCGAAATTCGCCTCCTTTCTTGTTATAAATAGCTGCAATACGAATGATACAAAATTGATAGACAAACTGACATTGCTACGCTTTTTTGATTTATATACGAATACCAAACGATGTATTGTTTAATCGTTTAATAAATAAAATCGTATAATTATTTTATCATATAGTAAGGGTTTATTAACTTCGGGTTGTCGAATCAAATAGGTTTTTCAATTCTACTAACAGAAAAATTAAAAAACACTAAAGTTATAATTTTTTTGTATTTATTTTTCCGATTGTTCCTATGGGAGCTATATGCCATAGTCGTCCGATCCGGCTCGATCCGACTTATATTCTACCTGCAATAGAAAGACAACTTTTGGGAAAGTTTCAAGCAGATAGCTTTAAAACTGAGAAACTAGTTTGCAGAGAAACGGACGGACAGACGGACGGACAGACGGACATGGCTAGATCGACTCTACTAGTAATACTGATCAAGAATATATATACTTTTTAGGGTCGGAGATGTCTTCACTGCGTTGCAAACTTCTGATTGAAATTATAATACCCTCTGCAAGGGAATAAAAAGTACAATTTTGCTCATTCATTTCATAGCTGACAAACCAATTTCGTCGATTTGAGTACAAGGCAATAATATCGGATCAAAAAATAGACCGCAAAAAGCTCAGACAAATCGACTACAATAATAATATGTTGACGACAAAATATTCCCTATCGATTTTGATGCCACTTTTGTTAAATGCTTCCCAAAATATACATAGCTGAAATCATTTCTTACTCTATGGCATCACTGAAAAAATCAACCAAGAGAGCGGCAGAGCAAATGGCGAAAGCAAATTTTTGGACAAAAATCTAGCATTTCTTTCCCTGTATAGATAGGAAGCTAAAATGAAACACATTGTCTTCTTTAAAGATTGAACTTAAAAACAACTAAAAACAAGTTCATGTACCCTTGCAGCTATTGCAAGAATTAAACATTTTTGAAAACATTAAAATTATGTTTTACTTGCGTTTATGTTTAAAAACATTGAAGCTATGATGATTTGCAGCTTAATTATTCGATAGTTATTTTATATATTTTTATTATTTCTATGGGAGATATAGTCGTCCGATTTTGATAAAATTTAAACCATAATTCTTAAATATTTAACCAATGCTATATGTCGAAGAACTAAAAATAAAATTAAAAAACAGCAAAGATACAATTTTTTTCATTTATTTTTCCGATTGTTCCTATGGGAGCTATATGATATAGTCCTTCGATTTTGATGATATTTAAATCGTAATTCTGAAATAATTAACCATTACTATATGTCGAAGAACTAACAAAAAAAAATGAAAAACAGCAAAGTTATAATTTTTTTTATTTATTTTTCCGATTGTTCGTCCGATCCGGCTCGTTCCGACTTATATACTACCTGCAATAGAACGACAACTTTTGGGAAAGTTTCATGCAGATAGCTTTAAAACTGAGACTCTAGTTTGCGTAGAAACGGACGTACAGACGGACGGACAGACGGACATGGCTAGATCGACTCGTCTAGTGATGCTGATCAAGAATATATATACTTTATAGGGTCGGAAATGTGTCCGCTACTGTGTTTCAAACATCTGTTTGAAATTGTAACACCCACTGCAAGGGTATAAAAATAAGAGCCAATATAATTTTATATCCTGTTCAACACCTGTTTATCAGGTGCCCTTGTTGGCTTTATGCTAATTGTGGGTTCTTCCTTGGAACGTGGCTGTTTTTACGTTCTATTTAATCGCAGAAATTGGAACACCCAAGACCATTAAATCGAATGTCCACCGCACCAGATATTGGAAGATTGATACAACAAAAACGCGAGTAATGGCTAGAGAAAAAAACAAACCACCTAATGTTCGACATTATTGTCGATATGCGAACTGAATTTAAATTCGCTTTGGTTAAAAGCAATTTGGTGTCAATTGGCGATTAGACGATGCCGAAACTCGAGCGGGCACCCGTGCTTAAATCGCCACACTTTGATATTCAATGAAGGCGCAAGTAATTATGGCTTCGAAACCCACTGTACTGCCTCACTTCCGCACCGTGCATTTAATGCTCTCCTTATCTCTCGATTAAATTGACAATTGGTTAAACAGTTGGCCTGACGTTTAACACTTGGCATACGGTTACCGCACGCCTCCAGTTGGTCCAGTCCTGTGTCGGGACGTTTCCCCCTCTGACAATGCAATTAATCAACGCAAATTAAAATTAACTTAATTCCAGACAGCTTGACATCGCGGTCATTTCGTCGCATATCCAAATTCAGGCGTTAATGTTGTGCAGGCTTGGGATTGATCTTGGCTCCAATGCCACCGTACATTCAACGTATATTTCAATGACTCCCAAAACTGTGCACTTCGATTTGAAACTACATTTAGAACGCAGGTACTCGTACCTATTTCAATGTCAACGTATTCTTAGAAACTCCTAAGTATAACATTTTGTACATCCAAAAATTTCAATGGCTACATTGAATATCGATGTTTTCAAACATCGGGGTTTCGTTGCATCAAGGTTTCTTGTGAAAAATTGTTTGTTAAGAGGGATTCTACTTTTGATTGGTGTTTTTATATCCTTTGCACTCAGTGAAGGAGACATTTCCGACTCTATAAAGTATATATATTCTTGATCAGCATCACATGGAGAGTCGATCTAGCCATTTTCTTCTGTCCGTCTGTCCGTATTTAACCATTACTATATGTTGAAGAACTAAAAAAAAATTAAAAAAACAACAAAGTTATAATTTGTTTTTATTTATTTATCCGATTGTTCCTATGGGAGCTATATGCTATAGTCTTCCGATCCGGCTCGTTCCGACTTATGTACTATCTGCAATAGGAAGTCAACTTTTGGAAAAGTTTTATGCAGATAGCTTTAAAACTGAGAGACTAGTTTGCGTAGAAACGGATCGACTCGCCTAGTGATGCTGATCAAGAATATATATACTTTATAGGGTCGGAGATGTCTCCTTCACTGCGTTGCAAACTTCTGACTAACATTATAATACCCTCTGCAAGGGTATACATATTATAAATTTGCTGTTCTTAAATTCTTTGTTTTAGTTCTGTGACATATAGTAATGGGTAAATATTTCAGAATTACGGATTAAATTTCATCAACAATAAAACAATAAAAATATTAAAAAACAATTTTTTTTTTAATTTTAGCACTTCCAATTTTGAATTTTTTTTTTTAAATTCTTTTTAACTTATTAATAATTTGACAGTTCAGAATTACGCTTTTAATTTTATTCAAATCGGAAAACGATACCATATAGGTGCCATTTGAACTATCGATTAATTGATCTACAAATCATCATAGCTTCATCATAGTACGTAAATGATAATTTTAATGTTTTAAATTCAGAATTACGGTTTAAATTTTAAATCGGACGACTATACTTTAAGCTTCTATGGGACAAAATAAAAATAAAAAAAAATCATAGCACGTAAATCAAAATTTTAATGTTTTGAAGAATATTTAATTTTTGTTTTAGTTTTTCGATTCAAATGGATCTTATCAGAAGGGTCCGATTTTCTTTGAATAGATGACTAGCAATTTGTTCTTGCGACTGAGTACCAAATCTGTACATTTTTGACAGAATTTATTTGAAAACGTCGAGACATGGAATAAAAATCTTGTGTATTTGTTCTGTTAGCATCGGGAACACGCAAAAATTTGATCGACGATTTTAGAATATATTAGGAAAGCAAGTTAAAATGGCCAATATTGCCAATAGAATTTCAAGTGGTACTGTCTTATTTGTTGGGAGAATATTTGTTTTGAAACTGATTTAAAGCAAAACGGCTAATACCGTTTCTTTTTGTTTAAGTTTAAATTCAATGCAATCCGCCCAGTGGCTTGGCAGTGTATAATGTCTACTAGCAAATATGTGCCATAGTATAAAATAGTAGTTGCACTATCGTGAAAAACATCAAATAGCTGCGAAATTCGGTAAGCAGACGTTCCTAATAGTATAGAAACAAACAAATAGACGCCTGATGGAGTTGGTCAATAATGTTTATAGTTTAAAGAGTATCAAAAATCTTCTTCACGCGGTATCGATCTAATTATAGTAGGCTTCTTTAAGGGTATTTTTGTCAAATCGTCAACATATATATTAACAAATTTAAATTTGCATTTGCGATTCTTGCACATGCTCGTACGAAAGCTGCTGTTTTGTGGTGGCTCACGCTTTTTGTTCAAGAGAAATTTGCATACCACGGAGGAGATACTTTGACAATGCAATTCCAAAAGCCTGACAAGTCGGCCCTGGCCAGTCGCCTCCCACATGTGGCTAAACATCAGCGGTCTCTGGTTCCTGCCGATGTCCCTGGGACTTTTTGCGGCTTTTTCGGTAAGTTATTTGTTCTGCGACGCAATCGACTTCCGTCCGTGGTTCTTATCGCTGGCCAGCAACATTGGCTTCCCCGGGGGACGAGTCCTGTCCGGCCGCAATAGAGCAGCCGTTGGACAGGACTCTACCCGCAAAACCGATTGCGACCGTCCCATTGTTTGTCACACTGCAGTGGCTTTGTTTTTCGTGCGGCTTGTTCTCCTGTTCTCCTGTTCCCCTGCTAAGCCACACGGGCTCGTTACCCGGACCCACCTCGATTTATTTCAGGTTCACTTTCCGGGGCCTCCCACTGGCCGCCAAACTTTCTTAATGAGCTTCGTACGGATTTGCGGTTTCTTTCGCCTATCGCGAGTAACATGGAAATCGATGTGTAAAACAATAGGCGTGTCTGTGATTGGCTGCCTTAAGCGACTGCCAGCCCTGTAGATGGATATCTCGGTCCTCACTCGCAATAATACCAGCACTCGAGCCCATTGTTGGCACTCGAATTATATACACATTATCTGCGCACCGGATCCGGGCCAGGGACGAGCTCAGTAGCCCCACAGGACACCTTCCAGCACACAGACCAACACTTACGCAAGGAGTCAGACGTTGTTATTTTAATAGTTTAAGTAACCATAATATGTTGAGGACTTTTTAATAAACTTGAAACATGAGCGAGCGTGAGCCACAAGGACACCAGAGACCGGCAGGATGTGAACTAGGACCGGCTGCAGTCGGGCAAGATTTATGCAAACCAAAATGTAGCCAAAAATTACAGTTTAATGGAGTAGACTCGGGGAGTGTGCGTGGTCCCGGTCGTAATGAGCAGCGAGAAACTTGCAACAAAGCCAAGTTTGCTGTAGACAAAGGACCAGAGGCCAAGTTGTATCCCGGGCCAGGAGCAACTCCGAATGTATGCAGAAGTAACTTCTCTAATTTTGCAGGAAATATGAAGCCATTAAAGTGCAGCAGACGAAACAAGGCAGCATCTTGACTACTGCGGCACTCAGATACTTAGAAGGGGTGCCTCCAAAAAGGCGAAGGACCTGGCACATAAGGTGCAAGAGAAGGAGGAGGAGCTGGAGCTGGAACTGAAGCTGGAGCTGGAGGATGGAGGATGGACGCAACACTCCGGGGCCATGTGGCCTGCCTGCAAAGTTGTCCTCGAGAGTGTGAAAATAAATTGTGAAAAAGTTGTAGAAGTGAAAATGCCAACTGGTTTGCATGCCCCTGCCCCGATGTCCATCCCCGGGGCAGATTACAACTACAGGAACGCGATCCGGGGTAAGCGGTAAACAGCTGTTGACCGTTTTCCCTTATTTCTACAATTTATTTCCACAAAAAATTCAGTGAAAAGGCACTAAGCGCCCACAGCCCGATATACGTACATACATATCTTTAATTGCCAACTTGGCCACTGGCTGCGAGAAAAATGACTCCTGGTAACTGCAGCGCAGTATTCTGGTCCAGCTGGTGTCACATGTCCGGTATCCGGCGCTAGTTCCACTTAATCATTGCCAGGCCGACCCACAAAAGGGGAGTCAGAAGGTGCCGTGATCTGTATAACGAATGTACTGAGACTCATATCTCCGCTTAAAGGTAAAATGGGTTACAATTATATTTTACAATAACAGTTAAACATATAATATTTACAATAATTTAAACTGAATTAAATTTTAGGAAAGGGAGCTTTTATTTCTGTCCTAAACTTATTATAAATACAGTATAAGTTTTTTTACAATAATTAAGTACTTCTGTGACTAACTTCAAATAAATAAAAATTACTATATTTAAATCGGAAAACGATACCATAAAGCTTCCATAAGAACGATCGAATAATTGAGGTGAAAATCATCATAGCTTTAATGTTTTTAAACATAAATATGCGCATTTTTTTAGATTTAGATGTTTTAAAAAATATTTAATTTATTTATTTGCTGCTACTTGTTTAGTGGGCCGGTATTATCAAATACTGGCAACACTGGCATTTTGGAGTGTCATTACTCTGCTTTCTTTTTCAGTATCTGCGATTTCCATAAAATTAAACAACATTATTTTTGTGTGATCCATACTTGTCAGCTTTTGTTCCAAATAATGTCTTTTTGCAGGGAGTTTTACTTAATTACTCTATCTGAAGGAACGAGTCAGCAGAAGCGGTTTGCACGGTTTAAAAGTGGCAGTTTCGAGTTGGACGACAAAGAACGAAAAATTAATAAACATTAGCGCCACCAAAATTTGAGGATGAGGAATTGGAGGCATTGCTCAATGAAGACTCATCACAAATGCAAAAGGAACTTGCAAATTCGCTTGGAGGCACTAAACTGCAGCGACGTCTCCAACGCCGTTTTTTCCACCACATGTCGGTCGAGCCGTTAAAACGTACTTGGAAACACATCGATGGGAAATCCTACCACACCCGCGTGGTAGCCCAGACATTGCACCTTCCGATTACTATCTGTTTCGATCGATGGGTCAGGGTCTGGCAGACCAGCACTTCTCCAAGTATGATAAAGTCAAAGAATGGATGGATATTTGAAAAAAGCGTAGATTTCTTTCGGCGCGGAATCCGTGATTTGCCATAAAGATGGCGAAAAGTAGTGGTTACCGATGGGCAATACTTTAAAGCGTAAAAAAGGAACAAATGGTTATCAAAATAAATCTTCAACTTTCGTAAAAAATCAGCACGAACTTTTTTATACACCTTATAGTAAGGTTAAATATTTCTGAATTACGGTTTTAATGTCAAATTCGTGACGATCGAAAATTCAACATACAATATTTTCGATATTAAATTTTATGACGAAAAAATTAATAAACATTAGTCTAAATAAGTACTCTTTTAAAATGTTTTCATTATATATATGCTGGGTTCGACCAAGTCTCCTTCCGACTGAAATTATAATACCATCTGCAAGGATATAAAATTGAACGAGTAAATTAAATGGCTGTCAATAAAACATTAAAATGTTTATATCCTCGTTGCTTTTAGGATATTTTCTTTTTTTTGACTTCATAAAATGTTGCTTAAATTAATAATAGTTTTTAAATTTAGTGCAAGTTTTTCTTTCTATATCATAAATCTGAACTGAGAAAAGATGCCGTTTTTTTTTGCTATACTATACCATACTATAACATGCTCGCACTTCTTTGTGGGATTAACTGGCATCACCTTTTTACTGATCGCCAAAAAGTCATGATGATGAAATCGTGAGGATTTCTATACAAAATAGTGCTGATTTTAGCATGGGCATGTCATTGGGATTCATCAGTAAAGCAAAATCATTTTTAGACTAATGTGCTTTATATCAAAAGTTGAGGAAACTTAAAAATTATATATTTCATAATTTGAAAATAAAATGTTAAGATACATTTTTTGAATAGCTTTTAAATGGAGCATCGGATCCAAGAAAGTTAGGTGTTTTAGACTGCTTTTTTAAGACTGAACAAACTGACTGAACGGCCTCACGAGTAAATCGTTCTCAAAATCAAAAATGATTTATTCTTAAAAACAAGAGCGCCTATGCTTGGACTCAAGAACCAAGAAGACTTATTCTTAAATCCGAACATTCAGTCTTAAGCAAACAGTCTTGATCTGAAAAAATTTCTTCTTGATTTCGGTTAATCCACTCTGAAATTGCGACTGTTGAGAACGGTTTTTTTCAGTAAAAGGGCCAGATTTAAAAAACTTTTTTAATTTTGTGTTTTATTTTTATTTTATTTTCTTTTATTTATTTTTTTTTGTTAAACTACTTTCGAAGTTATATTGCTAAATATATTTTAATCTTATAATTTTCTTATCAATATTTAAAACATACATATGAAGAGGTGGTGTGACTTTTGTGCCGGTGGCTTTAGAGGCGATGACTGTGGAGATTTTTCTTGGGCAAACTATATTTTTAATTAACAAAAAAAGTTAATAAGAAATTTCGAAAGAGGTATAATAATGTTACCTTCGTTTTCCAAGCGAACAGCTTTTCGCGGAAAAGAACTCTTCTGATTGGCGGAATCGCCTATTTTATTTCCTCTGCGGTGATAAATTCAAGGCACTCGAAATTAACACTGGCATCTAGAAAAAAATAATTAAACAGTGTAATTGTATATTATACAGCTAAATATATTTTAATCTTATAGTTATCTTAAAATATTTAAAACATAAATATGTAGAGGTGGTGTGACTTTTGTGGCGGTGGCTTTGGAGGCGATGACTGTGGACTGTGTAAAAATGTCTTACCTTCGTTTTCCTCCAAGCGAACAGCTTTTCACGGAAAAGAACTCTTATTCCGATTATTTCCACTGCGGTGATAAATTCAAGGCACTCGAAATTAACACCTGCACCTAGAAAAAGAATAATTAAACAGTGTAACAATTTTTATATTCGAATTTCAAAACTTGTCTAAAAAGAAAAATTGTTTAAAAAATATTTGAAGCGTGGCTCTGCTTTAAAAAAGAATATATCTAAATTTACTATTTAACACGTGCTTAAGTAAAGCAAAGGATTTAACACGAGTTGTGAAATAGCACCCTACCGCAAGTGACGCTGCTGCAGTGTCCATGTATGAATGTGTTTTTTGTTTCCTTTGATTCTTATACTTCTACGTCTTGCAAAAATTTTAAAGGGAAACGACGATGCCCGAAGTATACTTCGGTAACTTTCCGAAAAATTTGAGAGAACTTCTCTCCCAATTCTTATCTCTTTCAATTTTTTTAAGTTTTAGACCAAGTTCTTCTCGAGTTCAAAACCTTTTATTCTCGAGTTCAAGATCTTTTATTCTCGATTAGCGAAATCGAGAACAAATAGCACAATTTCTCCTTGAAGAAAATCTGAATAAATCAGATGAATCTGCAGAGATATTTATCTTTAGAAGCAGCGAATCCGTTCCTTATATCCTCCTTTTTCCAAGTTCACTTACCGTTTATTTATTATTATTTCCAATAAAACACTAGGTAAGAAAATTATAGTAGCAGAGAAACACGTTTTATTCTATTGGCATCCAAGATCAAAAGAGGAAGTAAGAACTAAGAACATAAGTAAGCTGTGCTTCAGAAAAATCCCAAATGATGCGTTATCGATAACTTATATATAATTATAATAATTTTGTCAAAATACAATAAATTGTTTCAACTATATTCACTGAGGTGATATTCTAATGCGATATTTCAACACTCCTCGATTTCAGAAACGTTTCTGCTTGATAAAGTGACAAGTAAAAATACTGAAATAGAGCTCTTTGTTTTTTCGTTTTGAAAGTTTCTCGGTGTACCAATGTCTAAATGGTTTTGGCATAATACTTCAATGTCACGATGTTTTGGTTATCTTGATAACAATATTAAAACATAATCGTCTATTGTTTAGTTATTTTCTTAATGCTCGATGATTTCCCTTAGTAAAACCAAAGCAAAACAAGAAAGGAAGCTAGCTTTGCCAAGCCGAAGTTTGTATGCACTTGCAAGTATTCCCAAAATTAAATATTCTTCAACAACAAAAAAAAATATTTCGATTTTTATGACTATTTTTTTAAAAACAGTTATGATTATCCGCTTAATTATTCTAGGATATTATACAGTGACGTCATAAAAAAACATTCTATGATATATAAATAGATATTGCCAAAACACACACATAGAGCCTAACAACTTACGTCTAACATGTCTCAGAGTGATTTTGCGATTTGTGGACGTTAGAGTGGCCGTTTTGAAGTAAACCAGAAATTACTAGAATCTGCATCCCACATCTCCAGCTTTTATAGTTTTTGGTGTTTAGACCGACAGACAGACGGAAATGGCTAAATTGACTTAGCTTTTGAATTTGCATTTGTTTGCATTAATTTGTTCTTATGAGAGCCATAGCCATGTGATCGTCCGATGCGTCTTAAATACTATTTGCTATAGAAAGCCTACTTTTGGGCAAAATAAGCTTCAAAGGTAAGAGACTTTGCGTAGCACGAACGGGCAGTCGCCGACAGCTAGAACGACTCCTCCAAGAATATATATACTTTATAGGGTTGGAAATGCTTCCTTCACTGCGTTGAATATGTATGTATATGTAAATGTGATTCAACAACGGAGCACAACATTGTGATATTATTACCATTACTCTGCAATTTTTATGAAAAATTTAAACTTCTACCACTACTATTTTCAATTAATATGAGAAAATGTATCATTTTTGGCCACACATAATAAATGAACACTTGGCTATTTTTTTGGAGAAAATATATGTCACTTAAAAATAAAAAAGTAGCATACTTGTATTACTACTAACCCAACCCTTTTTGTTATTTTTAAACCTTGTCTGTTTTTGTCTTATATTTGATCCCTGTTGATTAAGTGACTTTAATTTCCCGCTAGCCATTTGCCTAGTTTCGTTGAGTCAGTGTTTCTGAAGTGCTCCGTAAATATTTTCTATAAGTTTCGCGCTCACTTTACATTCCCTTCGCCAGATTCCATTATGCTCCAACCATTTGGTCCCTTTCTGGTCCCTAGAACTCGTTCGCGGAAGCTGGCGCCGCGTAATTAGCAATCTAGCAATGCAATGTAATGGGATCCAGTGGGAGGCCTGCGCTTCAAGTACATGAGTGGATTTCGCCACCAGCCAATGGAAAGTGGCCAAGATGAGGCAGCACTTGACATATGGTAATGCGCATTTTAAATGGATTTATAGTGTATGGTGTATGCTTTCCACGCTTTTGACTAGATTTGTATGCCAATCCCGATGCAAAAACGAAGGCTGCTTTAAAGTGCGTCGCACAATTTAAGGCTTGTTAGACTGCGTTACTTAATGTCTTCTATCGCTTGCAAGTGCTAAGTCCCAACAGCGGTGGGGACGTAATTAAACGCCCATGGAGCATTGAACGGGATTGAGTTGCACTTGCTATTCTTGGCCTATGCCTGGCACTAATTGCCCGGTCGAAGTTGCTGGTGCAAGTAACTATTATGGCCAGGAAGAAGGCGAGCTGGATCTTGGGGTAGGCACAAAGTGCCTGAGCAGGACATGGCCAAGTGCCAATTAGCAAGCAAAATAGATTGTAGTAAATTTTAATGACATATACGGCATAGTTGCTTCCGCTCAGTCTCGACCGTTTTTTCTCAAGTTAGGCGAGCTGGTGTCCTTTTGAAAGAGCCGACTACATGCAGACAGTCAAAGGCGTTGACCGCCTGCCGCATCATTGAATTCAAAATATCCAGCTTGGTGTGTGTCTGAGCCACTTCAATTAAAAAGACTTTCACCCACTACAAAAAGACCGACAAAGTCGGGCAAGGAAAAGCAGGAAAACACTTCCGCTTTACTTAGCTTCACTTTTGTGTGTCCGATGGTAAACGGTGCAATCGCTTTGAAATAGCGCAGACGTGCAGACCCGTGACCAGTACCGAATACCCGGTGCCTGAACGCCGGTTCCCAATGCTCCTAGCTGAAAAAAACTGCCTGGAAACGGTGGCGGCATCCATCGCAGCACGACATGACTTCCGTTCGTTCCGCTCTCTCCTTCGGTGGGAAGGACAAAGATGGTGGTCGCAGGATGCACAGTGGTCCGAGTTTTTATTCAGCTAAGCTACGATTCACTTTGCTAGTAAAGGGCACAAAAACTATTGGTTTGTCATTGCAAACGGTATAGAAACTCGTCCAGTCCCGCTGATCAAAAACGTATATAACTTTTAGGGTCGAAAAAATCACATTTACTCATTTACCCTTTTTTTATTGGGTGTACAAGTAGAAAACCGCCGTATTTTGTATTTTTAAAAAATTAGCTTATTTAGCAGAAAATCGCTAAAAACAGCTAAGCTAGTTAAGCTACAGACACGTGCTTTATGTCATTAAAAAGGTATTATCAAATGCTAATCACTAAGCATTTAAATAAAACAATTTAAAAATTATTTAGTTTTAATTTTTGTTTGCTAATTTTAAAAATTTGTTAGATTTGATTTTTGTTTTTTTTACGTTTATAGCCCTTGAGATCAACTTTTGGTGGACAACAAATTTTTCTGCATAAATGTTTTCGAAAGCTATTAAGCAACGGAAGCGGCTACTTTTCTCAGTTTCGAAAAGTTAACGCTAGTTAAGGCTAAAATTTCCTCCTAAAAGTATCCACATCCAATTTGGTGAGGGAAATGTTTTAAGTTAACAGAAGCAACATTTTTATTAAATAATTGTAAAATATTAATTATTGTTTTAAATTTAAAACTCATCTTAATTTCAACACACTGATTTGAAATCAGATACTTGGGCAATACAATGAGCAAGATGTAAGCAAATATCTTTAAAACAACGAAGTTATTCAAATTTTAATGTTCTATAGGGCCAGATAACTTTCTTGTTTATTTTTATATCCTTACAAATGGTATTTAAATTTCAGTCAGAAGGACACCTTCCCTCATCATCATTAGGAGAGTCGACCATGTCCGATTGTTTGTCCACTCGTTTCTACGCAAACTAGCCCATCAGTTTTAAAACTATTAGTAGAAGTTAAATCGAGCCCGGTCAGACGACTATATCGGACAGCTCTCATTGGACCCAGAAAAAAAATGACCTTGACTTAAGAAATTTGCCATTGATTCTAGAAAATCGTCAATGGCGACTCGCCTTTTATTTTTGAAAATGATTTTCTTAAATATAAGGAAGGCCTTTCTAGAAATCATTACATAAATTTCTTAAATGTGTGGCAAATAACAATAAAAATTAAGAAAAAACTTTTTTAAAAGCAATGGTTTGAGTGATCTAAAATGAAAATTTATAAATTATAGGGCGATTGCTTCCTAAAAACAACGGTATTTTTTCTTAGATCATGAAACATTTTTCTAAAATTAATGAAGTTTTTCCCAAAATTTGCTAGCGATTTGCCAAAAATTAAAGAAACCCATTTCTCATTTGAATGGTGTTTATTTTTTTAAAGAAAGTTAAGGAGGTACACATTTTGTTTTATACTTTTTTTAACGTTTATTTTATAATGGTAGATTATTGTACTCACAGTATACATTAGCTTAAAAATAGAACTTTGGTTTTAGAAACATTTCATCGTTTAAGTTATGATATTCTATAACTGAGTGTACAACATATTTTCTTTTGTACATATGTACATATATAACTTGGCTTGCGGCTTGCTTGCCGAAGCTTTCTCCTTACGACAAATCAAAAGTAAACAGCTGTTCGTGCCACTCACATGTCGGAGTAGCATTAGCTAAATGCAATGGCGCCAATGGAATCATGCACATTTAAAAAGGCCACTAATGTGGCAATGGAATCAGGCTATTCGCTGAACGCCACCTTACATCGCACAGGCACTGTAGCGTTTAGAATGATTATTTTTGACAAGCTAGTATTTTTCTCTTCTTCCAAGAAC